TTTTTATGTGGGCGGTGGTGTAAAATATCATATAAAAAGTCAACACACCATCGAATTTTTATCAGTCTTCCGACATCAGAATATTTTATTCCAAATAGTCCTTCACCAGAATGTTTTCTGACGACCTTATTTTTTCAAGTGTAACCCTAGACGCCAACATGGGTACTCCTGAGGATACCCAACACCTCCTCGACGATTTCGAGGATTTGGTTGCAAATAATCCTGTTATATTTCCGGAAGAAGCTCCTTCACCAATACAAACAGTATTGGAGCCGCCAACAAACAATTTTACAGTCTTCGAGCCTCAACCTGAAATCGAACCTGAAGTCCAAGTGATGTCGCCTCTTCCACCACCTCCATCAGCAAGAAGCCCAAAGATTGTTATAAGAAAAAACAGGAGAGTCTCCATACTGAGAAAAAGGTTACAGATGCCGGAGCATCAAAAACTCATTATGGAGACTCGAAAGTGTAAGGAGGTCTTTGAACAACAATTACACCACCTACAGTGCGATGTGGTGGAAGTGGAAAGACTGATGGAAGTCGCTAGACAGAAGGAAGAGCGAGCGGCGAAAGAAGTTTTAGAGGCCCGAGAGCAAACCGAACTTCTAAAAGTGGATCTGCAGGTGAAGCAGGGGAGATTGGAAGATCTAAATAGAAATAGTATAGAGTTTAAAAATAGTATTATGGATCTATGGAATTAAATTGTTATTAATAACCTAATAATAATTTAATTCTATAGATATTAGGAAATAGGAAATTTAATGTAATATATTTCTTCTACAAACGTGTTAAAAATGCAATTTTTAACACCCCCTCGAAGCATTAAAAATGTTACTTTATTGCACTAGTGTTAAAAGTCTTTAAGGCACTAGTGTTAAAAATGAAACATCAAAATTTGAAAGCAAACGTCAAAAAAAGTTTGTATTTTTAATTATTTACATTAATATTAATGGTAAAATTTGAACAACTGAGGAAGCTCCATCGGCCGCCTCCTCTATATTTTTCAAGGGATTGATGCAACCCTCTTTTTCTTGTGTATTTTGTTGCATTTTTAGCAAAAAGCTTACTGACCACGACAGACTTTTCATTTCATTACCTGTAAAACAAGGTGCTGGTTGTTTGAATTTTTTGACAAATATCAAATTCAATAATTTTACGTAGGAAAGATGCTTCCAATTTATTATTCATTTAAAAATCCAATTTGTCACTGTTTATTGCTTGTTATTGCCGTTTGTAGAAAAAATATTGTATGATATTTGTGTTAAAAGTATTTTTAAGGCACTATTGTGAATTGCAGAATTCGCTTCGCTCATTCTGCAAACTTTCACATGCGTGCCTTAAAAATGTACTTTTAACACTTATATCATAAATAACTATAATATGTATATAGAAATAAAATTCATTATAAGGTTAGTTTACGTATTATGTATTGAATGTATGTATATTTGAATAAAATATCAAATTTTAAAACAAAAACACTTGTCTTGAAAAGGAATGGAATGGAAATTTTTAAATCCCAATAGTCTCCAATAAAATAGAATAAAACTTTTAAGGTAAAAAATATTCGAACTGCAACAAGTTCTGAAAAGTTTGAGAAGATATCCATTTTTATTCGTATTTTCCGAGAAAATAGTTTTGAAGAGTTTGAGAAAATCTCCATTTTTTCACTTTTTCTCATTTTTCCCAACGTTCAAAATCACTTCAAATTTCATATACAAAATTATTCAAGAATTGAGCTATTGGGGGCAATTCAATAACTCAACAAATCCTTTGATTTCAGAAAATTTACCCATTTTTTCTTCATATTTTCCAAGAAAATAGTTTTTGAATAGTTCAAGAAAACCCCCATCTTTCACATTTTCCATTTTCCTCCAACATTCGAAGTTATTTCAAATTTCGTATGTGAGAATATTTAAGAATTGGGTCACTGGAGGATTCAATAATGAGAAATCTTCTGATTTTAGAAAAAAGTTATAGGTGATTGGGTGGGGGGTTATCATTGTTTGGAAACACATATAGATGCGAATTGGTGGGTGAAGATTCATTCCTTTAGATAGTTTCGAAAGGCTCAAAAATATTAAACACAACAATGTCTTCCAATGATAGTATCGAACCAGCTCAGCGTTGGGTTTTCGAAGATGATGACGATGTTTTTTCCGCTTCCACGGAACCAGCCCAACGTTGGGTTTTTGAAAATGAGGAAGATGATCCAGCAGAGCAAGAATATGAATGGGAGGAGGAGGAGGAGGAGGATGAGCAAACAGAACCAGACTCTTCCAGTTGGTAGATTATACCCCCACAACAACATCAAGAAGAAGAAGAGTATGATGGACCAGCTGACAGTACTTGGTGGTGCGTTCCAGATGTGCTACAAGAAATGGGAGAAGAAGAAGATGGTCCAGCTGATTCAACAACATAATAAATAAGACTATAATTTTTTGTAAATTTAAAAAATATAATATAATGATCATAATAAAAATTTAAACATATTATTTTAGTTCATATGACAAAATCTATTTAAAGAGCTTCCGGTTGGACTTATTCTTTAATGTAATAAGTACTAATGTACTTAGGTACATTAAAAAATAAGTCTTTCACAGGGCTGCCAGTCATGTACTGAGCTCTTAATTCGCGCCCCATTACACTTTTTTTTTGAATGGGTAAAGTCAAATTTCAAAGAAAAAAACCCATCATCCGTCAATTAGTTGGCATAATAATACGCGTGTTCTAGAAACTTTTTTACACGCTCACCTGTACCTCCGTAAGGTTCACTAAGTTTTTCTATCACTACTCTGACCACTATTGACCTGCACCTTCGCAAAACAATGGATTTTGGGGCAGCCGCAAAATTTTGTGTCTCAAACACATTTCTTGCAACTTCCACCAATCTCTTCACTACGGGATTTTCACACCTTTCACAAAAACCTGATTCATTTATTCCAATTGATCTTTCTCCACACAACATACAAATTCGCTTTTTATTAATTGAATAGGGTCTCACAATTGCTACTGGTTTTTGACCGGCGTTCATTATGCTATTCGTACAGCCTATATGTTCGAATGTCAGAGTACTAATAAAAATTTTATAAAGCGTTGCCAAATCCCAATCTCAATAATCTGTAAGAAAATATTTAAGACCCTCAAATTTTTTACAGTGTTGCCTTTTCGATGGCTACCTTGAATGGTTAAAATCTACACAAACGGAGGTTTTCTTTGTGAAAAAAATTCTAGTTTGATAGGTACCATTTCTTCACAACAAAAGTTTGTAAAGTGGGCACCTGTGCAATTTTGAAATTATGGGTTTCTTTGTTACAATAGGACAGAGTTTGAGCAATTTTGATATGATGGATTTTTTGTTACAATAGGACAAAGTTTGAGCTTTAAAATAGTATCGTTCCATAATAGAAATTTATACCTGTTACGATAAGGATAATCCTCTTTACAAAAGAATAATCCTCAGTCATTGAAATACTTTATTTTCATAGAAGGGCGGTGTTTTCTTTGTGAAAATCTATGACAGCTCTTTATTATTTCTAAACCACTTAGAAAAAAACATCCATTGGTTTGGAAAGGAATGAAATGTATTATTTTTCAAAGAATAATGCATTTCGTTGATGAACGATCTTTATCATTGAAATACTTTATTTCTTTATGTGGTGGTTGGAATAAGGTGAAAGAAAAAATAGATTTATTACATTTATAAATAATTTTTATTGGATAAATATAATTAAACAACCTATGCCTAATATAAAGATACATGAAGTTAAATTTTGCTGATTATCCTAAAACTATACTTTATTACCTACCTACTTATATTTTATTCTTATAAAATATGCGAACACAGAATTATTTCGAGCGATTGGAGTGTAAAAAACTAGATCGTTATAATACAATAAAAAATTAAATGGATGACTTGTTGATAACAGAGCCATTCAAAATATTATATGTACAGAATGAATCATGAATAATTAATGCATACACTTTAGTGTCTTTAGGAAAAGTTTTTCTTGAAGAAAATTCAATTTTTATATCCACAGTTGAGTTTTTTATTGCTTCTACTTGATGTGAACAATCTATTACAAAAACTGGGTTTTGCATGTATTCTTCAATATCCATCATAGGGTCACTACATTCTCTTCCATAATAAGCTTTTTGAAATCGATCATAGCTATTATAGGCTGGAGTAAATAGGGTTTTTGAAAAATCCAAATTCCATCTTTCATATGGAAAAACTGAAGAATTTAGGTATACCCTGATATCACTAATATTTGCTGGCGTAAACAGCGTTGCATCTTTCTCCCGATTGTCTGAATAACTTGCATATTGGAAGCCTAAAACTATATACCTAGGTCTTTCCAAACTAGTTGAAGTTCGTATGGCCCACACATCTGATTGTGTTTGTCGTAAAGATGGTAACTCGTACAAACCCCACGATCTAAACGCCATAGGAACTACGGCCATATTTCCACCTTTGTTAATGCGAGATAGGATTTTTAACTTCAACCTATCCTCTGGAATTAAATGTCTTATCTTCCACTCAATTTTATCTATTGTAATATTTGCATCTACTTGTCCTATGTAGGAATTATTGAATGTTAGTGCAATAATAAGTATGAGCTCTTGCTTAACATTAAATATTACTTTCTGGTAGTCTTCTGCAAAACCCATTAAATATTTCAATGGTAATTTTCCACAGAAAACCATGCTTACAGGGTCCCAAATTTGACGCTTCGTATCGCTAAGACCCCATCCGCATGAATATAGTGATTTTGTATTTTGTGTTCCATATGATACCATCGTTTTTAAGGCTGTAGTGATACCTGGTTTTCGAACTACAGCAAGTTGTTCGCCACCCATTTCGAGACGGATTTCATCAAATAAAAATGCTAGTGCATTATTTGATAAATGACACTTTTTAGTCCCATCGGAAGGAGTGAACTTCCCCTCGATGTAAATGAAGCTCTCAGACACATCTAATATCAAATCTTGAAAATGTATAGGAATGCGGATTTCGTCTGAATTTTTAAATGATGGAGCCCCATATGGTTTATAGGTATATTCCTGTGAGCTTGTTATAGAATTGTCCAAAATTGGAGCGTCGAATATTTCGATTTTTTCACTGGTAGTTAACATTTCACTTTAAGCCTTAAACCCAAGGATTTAAGAAACGATAAGTCTTTTTGATTAAGCTTAGATCTTCTGCGTTTGGCGTTTGAATGAAGAATGACATTCTTGGCACTATGAACTACATTTTTATTGAACTTTATATCTTCATTCTGTTTTTGAGGATTATTCACAGTGCGAATGAAACAAAACCCCATTTTTATTTATTTAATTTATTAGATTAGCTTCCTTAACTCTAGTTTAACAATAATTTTTTCACCGCGAAAGTTTATAAGACTACCAGTATCATCCACGATGCGAAGTGTAATGTTGTCTATAAACTGACGTGATTCAGGAATAATCGGTAAATATATAATATTAGTTGGTTCCTTGCTCAGCTTATAACCTGGTTCAACATCTATGTCGAACTCAAATATTGTATGTGAAGCTTCGGAGTTTATAAATGCACCAGACGTTATGTTGGAGTCTACCCGAATTATTCTAACCTTCATAATGTTGACTGGTAAGCTGGACACGTGCTTCAAATTTTTTTCATAAGTTTTCTTCTCAAATCCTAATATTTGGGCAATCGAATTTGGGTAATCCAGATTCAAGTTGAGTGTAGATATCAATTCGCATTTCAAAGTATTGCTATTGGCATTCAATGAGAAAATATTATTGTTTTTGATCTTTGATGCTGATTTCAGAGCATCTAACATAATATCATTGATGGTGGAAATCTCATAGGCTCCAGGAGGTATTCTTATTGTTTCGTAAGGTCCATTGACATTTTTGGAATATCCAAAACAGTTGTTACTCTCGTCGACATTGAAAATTGAATTATATGAATAAAATCCTAACAAGGCCAAACCATATTTAGCTCCAGAATCCAGATTGATTGGTGGGTAAAACTCACTACTAAGCTCACTAGAATGTCCTGATAGGGTGAATGTGTAAGACATGACTGATAGCAACCATACACAACTGATTGTTTTTATTGTAACTTACAAAACTTGTTTAAAAAGTTATCGTTGGATTCCTTTTCCCCAGCATTAATTTGTACATCTCTAATATTACAATAACAACAAAATAGCTTTCTTGGGGGTGGTCCAACTATAACATCCTCAGAACCTCTAGTCTCATCATGATCTGTACAGTATTGGTATTGTACAATATCGTTATCCTTCTTGAGATGCTCTGGTAACTTGTTCCATATCAATGCTATTTCTTCTGGAGCACACGCAAGTAAAAATTCTTTAGGTATTTGCTCCAATTGTTTTTTACTAAAGTTCATAAAGCTGCCGAGCTTATAGAAATCCATAAGAAATTGAGAGACTCATTTATCTGTTGACTTAAACATTTTAACCCTACTGCTGTTTTACGAGAAACTTTAAGCACAAATGTCCACACAAAACTGTACCAAATTTTTGTTGGCGCTCGTATGTATAATAGAGATACTTGACAGCATTACGCATCTTTTTCAGATAATTTATGAGTTCTCGTGGAGGGGGTAAATCACCAAAACTATCATAATAAATGGCGATAGAGCCTGTTTTTCGATATGCTACCCAATGAGTTCCCACACCACTAATACTATCCAAATTAACTATTGCTGCTTCATTTTTGTTTGGACCATTCATTGGCAAAGTATCTCGCATAAATATACCGCGAAAATATGGTATTTTTTCTCTTTTCGCATATATTTCTAGATAGATATTCGTCAACGCTCTATGCGGTAGGGATTTGATATCTAGTTTTTTGATTGTTGAAGGAATAGTCCATATCCTGCTCGATATGGTTTTAGAAACAATCCTTTCCCAATCACCATTTCATCTGATTTCTTGTTACTATTTTTCAGATTCGATACTTCCTTGATTGTTCGAACAATAGCAGCCGCACCTCCTGCTAGAGAGCCTAAAGCCGATAAACCCGCAAAGATCGGGAGTAGGGGGAGAACTCCCCCAACTTTTGGTATCGGAATTATTCTTGGCATGCGGACCTTCCTTTTTCCACCAATTGTCTTCAATGATTTACGAGCTGCAAGCAGTGCTACTCTAGCTGATTTTACAAGATTTTTCTTATCTATAAATTTACTATGAACTTCTTTTTTCAAAATATTTCTAATAGGTTTGGATAGAGCAGATCCAAAAGCTACTTTGCGAACTTTAATACTGGATTTTCTTCTAGCTGTTTTCTTCTTCTTTCGCTTATTTATTTTCAAATTAGGTTGGTGACCCATACCCAGTTTTCGCTTCGTTTTCATAGTGTTTGTAACTAACCAAGCCGCAGCTTTTTCTCCGAGATCAGCGTCTTTGGAATTGACACGTTCCCAAGCGCTTTGTTCCAACTGATAGTCGGCTCGATGTCGTTGACTTATATCACTGTTTTCAGAATAAGCAATATCGTGTTTTTTACATGAGTTATATCACGTCTATTTGCTGAGTCCTCATTTAAAATGCTTATTCTGCTTTTCAGCTTATTATAAATATATGTATTTTCTTAGGATAGTTAGTCAGTTGGAATTTATTATACTTATAACTTTTATTGTAACGTGCTTTCGCTAGTAATAATTTCGAATTGTTAATAAAGTCATTTTTTAAAAACCAACCCTCGGTTGCTGACTTGTTAACTGGCGCAGTCGACAGGACGTGTTTTTTCGGGACTGTTTATCGGTTCTTCGGTATTCGGACTAACCGAAAAAATCGGACTTACGTTAATTGTTTACTGTGAGGTGTCAGAGTGGCTTTCTAGATATCGAAACACCCAGTTCATCGTGAACCTGTTACCTCGAAGTAATCGGAGTTTGGAACCAAATTGTCCAAATCTCGCAAGGACCAAGAACCATTTGGAAGGACCATATCGCCAACCAAACCTCTGGGACTTATAGCAATGAAATTCTTCTTATTCAGTCTGTAAGTGCAATTTAACTTATGTCTGACGTAGATGAAATAATTGAAAAATTGAATAATTTATCATTACCGCCTTCAACTGACTGATTCGGAAGATTTAATTAGAATAATTAATCAAACATTTTCTGAAAGTAACGGTGCCGAAAGCACATCTTTTGATAATCAAAACATTTGCATTGTTCCGAATTTAAACTCTAACACTATGGCTCATTTCAAGCCAGAGTACCTTAGTTGTGTACCACAATTTGACGGAAATCCGAATGATTTGAACAGATATTTATCAGTATTGTAACGGGTTTTCCTAGGTTTTTCCTTAAGCTATAGTAGCTTAACGGTCGGTATTTATCTTTCGGTTAATCCAGCGGTAATCTCGGGCGCCACCCTCAGGATTAAAGTGGTTGAGGGCCCACTAGCACCAGGTAGCTTGTTACAGTGGAGAAAGAAAAACCAGGGGTCAATGCTCAGACAAAGGAATAAAACAATTATGGGTAGATAATCAACAAATAAACTATTTATTACTCATTGTGTAATAACAAAGGAAAAGAATAATGAAAACTCAAATATGTTGGATAATACCTTAACCAAATTGTCCCTAAATTATAACAGCTCCTCATAGAGCAAAGTGTACGGGTAAAAGAGAGAGAGAGAGAGAGAGAGAGAGAGAGTGGTCGTGTGTGCGGTCGATTACGGTACGGATATCAGCGTAAAAGCGGAAAGCGGTAAATATACAGTTACGGTAAAAAGCCGGCGGTTGTGCGGTGACGGTAAAAAACTGCGAAGCGGAAATAAGCTCTCTATGTTCAGAACCAGGCCCCGAAAGCTTCTCGCGACAAATTCGGAATCGCGTGTGTCAGTGGGGTAGAAAGTGTAACTGATCTATGTCCGTACGTTCAGCCAGGACATAAGGAATGCGAATCTCCTGCCGGACTTGTCTGTTCGTACAGCCGAGACTTGTCCTGATCAGTCTACCCACTATCCAACTCTTTTCAGTACGGTGCGCGGTGTTTCGGAGCCAGAACGGAACGGTGCAAATGTAAACAATAAACCCAGCATCGGCCTTTAATGCATTTAGTACATTTTCGGAAGAATGGTAGGATACACAGCTGGTCTATGTCAGTACATTCAGCCGAGACATAAGAATTACCTGATGAAAGTGGTAGTCCTGCTGGATTTGTCCGTTCGTGCAGCCAGGACTTATCCTGACCAGTGTATATACTAACCCACTCCTTTCGCGGGTTTTAGCAGGGTAGAAGATATAACTGATCTATGCCCGTGCGTTCAACCAGGACATAAGGAATGTGAATATCCTGCCGGACTTGTCTGTACGTACAGCCGTGACTTGTCCTGATCAGTCTACCTCCCACCCTACTCCTTTAGGAGCGGACGCGGGACATCACGGACCTAGGCTGGGATGCGTAGGGTGCTAGAATTACCTTTTATCCGGACGGCGGTCGGGCGGTGTGTGCGGCGGTCTAGCAGGCGGTCGGTCGGTGTACGGAGGAGATCTCAGAATGCTCTCCAGCAGGCGGTAGGTGTCGGTCGGAGGAGATCGCGGAATGATCTCCCTGACTGGAGGCCGCGCTGGGGAATTTATAGTCGGCAGATCGGCGCGCGTTTCGGTAGGCAATAGTGGGAGACGCGGTGGGGCGCGCGCTTAATGCCGGTTTACATTTTGCGGACTATTTCGGAGACGCGCACACATTTTATAAATATTATAATATCCAAATAATTAAATCAAACTAAATTAAATACTTACGTGGACCCTGTAATTATAAAATAATGAAAAACAATAGTAACATCGTTACACACCCCTCTCTCTTTACAAAAAAAATAATTATGTAAATATATATTTTTTCTTTCCTAAAACCTAAGTTGAACATATCCCTAGAGTGTAGTACTTGGAAGATGGTCGGCGTTTCCGTCGGGCAATCAACCGACGTAGATTCTTCAGTGTAGCCTTCGGTTGCCGTCTTGCTCGTAATGCTGTCGGCGGCCATACGGGCAACCACAATAGCGGCATGGTTGATATTGAACGTTATGACGGCAGCATTGTACTCCGACAGACACCAAACGCGGTCTGCGTGATGAAGTCCCTACTTCCTTGGCGGTGTTATGGGACCGTGACTCCCTGGCGGGCCTTGGCCGCTTGGTACCTCGGGAGCAGTCGCAATCGCGGGAAAGTAATCCTACCTTCCCGCACTGGGAACAAAACTGAACAGGTTTCCGGCTGCAATCATCCCGGTGGTGCCCAGGATAGCCGCATCGCCAGCAAAGGTCCAGGTGCACTGGCAGAAAAATAGGCGGATTGGAATGCGAACGGATCTCACTCGGTGGTAAGTTTGCCACGGAGGTGGAAGCGGTCGGCGTTGAAGCGGTCTGCTTTGTATCACTAGCTAGTTTAGGAGCATGGGATGGCTCCACTGGTTCGGTAGTACTGGACCCTGGGGCGAGTTCAGTGAGCTCGGCAATCTGGTCTGAATTGGCGGCCTCAACATTACTGGGTTGAGTAGCGAACGGTTCAGGCTCCTGGTCCTGAAAACATGCATCCATGTCTTCAAATAGCGTGAGCACTTCCGTAGGAGTATCCATGGTGTATACCTCGTGTCTCTGCAAAGAGATAACAAAATAATTGGCACGGTTTAATAAAACGGCAGTCAGAAGTTAACGGTTTAATAAAAAATTAAAGTTTTATTCTATCACAGAGAAAAATGAAATAATATCAGTCTTCTTAATAAAAATTAAATGGCAACTTGTAGCGGATTATTTCGGTACTGGCAAGTTTGCGTAGACAAATTTGCCAGTCGAGCTGGTGAACCCGCGGCGGAAACGTCTTCCCGGCGGTATATGTTTTGGCCTCAATGCCGCTAAGGCTGCTACCAAAGCAGCGGGTCGGTTTTCGGGGTTCGGGTACAAAAGTAACGCGTCGGCTATTGCAGCGTCGGTGTCGTAGCAAACGGTAGCGGGAGCCGGTGCAGGTAGTTGGCCTACTGAGTCAGTAGTGGAAGAGCTACTACTGCTACTGCTGCTGTAGCTACTGCTGGTTGAACTACTGCTGCTTGAGCTACTGCATGTGCTGCAACTACTGCTGCTGCTACTGCTTGACGAGCTATCGGAATCCGAATCGTCGGGCGGTACGGTGGTGATAGGGATGCCGTTCTTTTCCCCAATCTTTTTGACGGCAGTAGCGGATAGTGTGGGGGAAGCGGATGGCGTGAGGGTAGCGGTACGCGGAATAGTAGTGGGTTTTTTGAGGTCAGGTGTAAACGATCGATTTGGCGAGTTTGGAGTAGGGGAGGGAGTGGGATTCGGTAGTGGAACGTGACCGGAGACTGATTTGGACAACTTGCGTAGCGGTAGAGGTGCTGATGAATGTCGCACGGGGGCTGTAGCATCGCCCTTTCCCCTTGCCCGTTTCCGCTCGTGGACTGTTTCCTGCGATGAGGCCAGTTTATGTTTTTTGGCGGCGGAGGCGGTAACGACAGCGGGTACGGGCTTGGCAGACGGTTTGGAAATGACGGCGGTGGGGATAACAGGTGGGGTACTGGCGGACGGAGGCGAAATTACATGGATTGAGCTTCTTGAGTCGCTCATCCTCGGTAAGCCCGTAGATAGTTTTTTGTCGGGCCCTTTTCGAAATTGTCGGCGGTATTGCTGGGCGGCTCTTTTCACGGCATTAAGTCTAGTTGTTTTTTTAGTTTTAGCTTTTTCCGCGTCGTCCCTCAGAGAAATCACAGATGTTGGAGAAGGTTTTACTCCACGCGGTGGCATGTCCATTTTCTGGTGTTTCGGCATGCTGAAAGTTCAGAGAACACTAATTTTACAGAGCTCGTTTAAGATCTTTTATATGTACGCGTTGCAGCTTTTTACCGGTCGGACCGCGCAAATCGTAAACGACGGGGGATATGACTCTTGTTACCGTATACGGACCAGAATACTTCGGTGCTAATTTAGCGGCAAAACCTTTTACTGCGGATGAGAGCGGATTTTCTCGTTTCAGGACTAGGTCGCCCACGTGGCATCTCCAATCTCGGCGACGGAGATTGTATTGATGGCTTTGATTGGAGAAAGCCCTACCCAAATTCACTCGTACAAGTTCAAAAACTTCCTGTAATTTCTTCAACCGATCGGAATGGGCGTCAATTTGTGAAGGTTCCTCGGAGTCTTCTTCTGGTTCGGGATCTGCTTCTCGATATAATGCCTTTGGAGGTTCTAACTCTCTTCCGAAGTTCAGGAAAGCTGGAGAATACCCTGTAGAAGCCTCATTGATGCTTTCTATAATGCTGCTCAACCAGATAGTTTTCAGAACATTTACTTGCTGAACTCGATGTTTGCGTAAGAATAGAGTTTAAAAAATAATAAATTGAGATTAATTTTACTTCGATCAATTGAAAGTGGACTGTAATTTTATTTTATTTGACAAAGAATGTGAATGGACGCGAACCATACAAAATCATAAAAGGACACTCACCTCGATTGATTTTCTGTCATAGAAAAATCGTTCTTTCCTCTGGGATCCCAGGCCTTTCTAGTTCTGCTACAGCACCACGTCACGATTGGGGTTTGAACCCTTTTTTGAGATATCGCCACTGATTTTTGGTAAATTTTGCGGATTGAAAATATTTAAGTCACGCCAGTTAGGTGCCCAAAATGTAAGAGAGCGACTCCTTGCGCACATTCTTGCTTGCGCACCCTTGAGGTGTCATACAATAATGAATATGTATGGTTCATGCGCAACGTAATCATTATTTCGAATAATTAAGAATTTAAACATAATAAAACTTGCACAAACATTTTCCGCCCACCTAAAACGATTGTTTTAAATTGAACAGTTCCCACTTAGAAAAATTGAACAGTTCACCCTTAGAAAATACCCCAAAACAAAAAGAAAAAATTAAATAAAGTAAACGAAAATTCGGAAACGATACGAACATAAATTGAGCATGGCTCGAGTGCTTAGTTCAACGGTAAAGGACAAAGTTTTACAATAGGGCGCTTGAACAGCCCTTGTGGAGTCCTTACAGTTACTACTCTAACATGCCCATCAGGGCCAGGATGTAATTCGACAATCCTGCCAAGAGACCACTGCAAAGGTGGCTTATTTTCATTCTTAATGACAACCAAACTGTCCAAGTTCACCTTCGACGGTGTTTCTGTCCATTTGGACCTCTGCTGTAAAGTGTTTAGGTATTCTTCCTTCCAACGCTTCCAAAAGTCAGAATTTAGACGCTGAATAAGTTGCCATCGCGAAAGAGTGTTAAGCTTGAGATGTGATAAGTCTGGATCGGGGCACGAGTTAAGTGGTTCCATAGTGAGGAAATGCCCAGGTGTAAGTGGGGAAAGATCATTTGGGTCCGATGACTGACTAGAAATCGGGCGACTATTCAAGAGCGCTTCGATTTGGACCAGCAAAGTATTAAGCTCCTCGTAAGTTAATTTTTGGTCTCCGATTACTCGATAAAGGTGAGTTTTCACGGATTTAACTCCGGCTTCGGATAGACCATTGAAGTGAGGACTTGCACTAGGGAAAAAGTGCCATTTTATATGAAGATGTTCGGCGGCATACCTCGAAAGTTCTATGAGCTGATTATTTGCGCCGACAAAATTCGTACCATTGTCACTGTATAGGTAATTACAACGGCCTCGTCTAGCGACAAATCTCCGAAGGGCTGCTATAAAACAGTCAGCTGTGAGATCCGAGGCTAGTTCAATGTGAATAGCGCGCGTACTAGCGCAACAAAAAATACAAATATATGCCTTGAATTCTCGATTGCCACGGTACCAACGGCCTGGTAGTAATTTTAGTGGGCCTGCATAGTCTAGGGTAGCATGAGAAAAACATTTACCCTGGGAAATACGGAAAGATGGTAAATCTCCTTGATAAGGCGTATAGGCTTTTGGTCGAAGACGATAGCAGCTTATGCATTTAGACAGAACAGCCTGAATGGCTCTGCGTGAGGAAAGAATCCAGAACTGCTGACGTAATAGGTGTTGGACCGTATTTAGTCCAGGATGCAGATTTTCTGCATGAATATGTTCAATAATTAGCTGAGTTACTCTGTCGGATCTGGTTAGTAAAAGAGGATGCCTGGCTTCAAAGGGAATGGCGTCGGTGTGTCTTATACGTCCGCCCACCCTGATGAAACCGGTCTTGTCTAAGAAAGGGGCGAGTTTTCGGAATGGTTTTGGCAATAATTCATTGTTTTTAATTTGTGAAATTAGTTTGGAAAAATGTACTTCCTGACTACGCCTTTCCAGGACGAGTAGAGAATGTTGTAATTCGAATACAGATATTGGTCCAGTAAGTGGATTTTCCTTGTTTTTAAAATTATGAAAGATTCTGTGACTGCGACAGATAAGTTTTTTAATATAAGTCAGTGATGAATACCGATTAACAAGCTCGTCTACAAAATTCCACTCAATGGTCGTAGTCAGAGTAACGCGTTTTTCTTCTTGAGTTATTTCTTCCAAATCTGACTCTAAATTTCCCAAACAAGGGTTTTTTAGGTCCCATGAGGAACATGGTAAACTTAGCCAGGTTGGGCCTGTAAACCACAAGGGGTGGTTTATGAAGTTAGCAGGTGTACTACCACGACTAGCTACGTCCGCGGGGTTCTCTTGTGATTTAACATGATACCAATTGACATTAGGAATTTCTTCTTGTATATGGCTAACTCTATTAGCGATAAAAGTTCTCCATCTGTGTGGTGAACTCGAAATCCAATAAAGAACAACTTGAGAATCTGAGTATGCAAAGACTTCGTCGATTGTTATTAGAGGTGAATATATTTTCACGACAAAGTTGACTAGATCGCTAAGCAGAGCACTACCCAAAAGTTCTAGTCTAGGTAGACTAATAGTTTTCAAGGGACTGACTCGTGATTTGGCTATTATCAGGGAAGTTTTGATAACGTCGTCAGGTAATTCTAGCCTTAAATAGACACAAGCAGCATACCCAAGCTGTGAAGCATCTGAGAAGGCGTGCAATTGACATCGGAGGATTCCTTTAGAAAAAATATGTCGTGGAAATTTAATTTGGGATAAACACGGAAGTTTATTTTGAAATTGAGTCCAAAGGTCGAAAATAGATTTATCTACTGGATCGTCCCAGCCTATTTTGGCTATCCAGAGTTTTTGCATAAGACATTTAGCAAAAAATGAAATTGGTGAAAGCATTCCTAAGGGATCGAATATTGACGCAATATTACTTAGGATGTTTCGTTTGGTACTAAACCCTGTACCACTTGACGGTTGACATGAGAAAAACATAGCATCCGCCTTTGGGTCCCACTGTAGTCCTAAGACTTTGATAGCAATGGGATTTTCTTTATCGAAAGAAAAAGGAATTTGACATTCCTCAGGGGATAGGACTGATAGTAACTTTGGATGATTACTAGCCCATTTTTTTAATTCAAAACAACCAGATTTCAGGAGGGCGATTAAATCTCTTTGTAGAGTCAAAGCTGACTCTACAGAGTCTGCGCCTGAGCAAATATCGTCTACGAAAATGTCTTCTAATAAAACTCTAGAAGCCTCTGGATAGTTTTGTTTTTCAAGTTAGGCAAGTTCCTGAATTGTTCGTATTGCCAAATATGGACTTGAACTGACCCCAAACGTAACTGTATTCAGTCGATATTCTTGGATCGGTTCATTGGCATTGAAACGCCAGAGGAGTCTTTGGTAGTCTCTGTCTTCAGGAGCCAGTCTGATTTGCAAAAACATTTGCGTTATATCAGAAAGCACAACAATGAGATGAAATCTGAATTTGAGAAGAACAGTGTTGATATCTGTTTGTAGTTTGGGCCCTGCTAGAAGGGTAGAATTTAAACTGAGTCCTTTTGATCCTTTGGATGAGGCATTAAATACCACACGGACCTTGGTACTTGACTTATCTGGTCGTAGCACACAGTGATGTGGTAAATAGTTAAGAAACTCTGGTTTTGGTTCTGATGTAGAGATTAAGCTCATGTGATCGTTTTTCAGATAATTAGTCATAAATTCAGAATACTGGGAATAGAGTGTAGGATTTTTTGATAGTTTAGATTCTAGCGACAACAAACATCTGTAAGCTTGAGTATAGGTTTGACCTAGATCTGGCCTGGAATGACGAAAAGGTAAGGATACTTGGAAACGTCCTGTTTCGTCTCTGGTTACTGTTTTTTGAAAAAATGACTCGCATCTTTGTTCATCTGGAGATAGGAAAGTTTTTGTCGGAACTGATTCGACTTCCCAAAATTTACAGATCGTTTGATCCAGGGACGGCTCATTCAGGGCGGTAAGATTACAAGAGAGCGCTGGGGATTGATTTGTTACATATGAAGCTGTTGCCTTCGCAAGAAGTACCCATCCGAAGACAGTTTCTAGAGCAAGTGGCTGTCCTGGTGATCCTGGAATAATTCCTGGTCTTATGATTTCTGAATAGGCCTGAGCACCTAGAAGTATGTCGATTGGAGCAGGAATATGGAAGGTATCATCCCCCAATTTTAAATTAGCAATATGATGCCAATGTTTAGTATCCAATTGAAGTGATGGCATTTCTGCGCTGACTTTAGGTAAAACATATACCTCGAATTGAAAAATAGGATTACTCTGACCCACAGGCTTTATTGTACAACTTGTTACACCTTTTGTATTCGAGGTAGATTGATTTATTCCAAGAATCGGAACTACAAACTTCCTCCTGGATAACCCTAGGCGATTGAGACATTTCTCGGAAATTAAATTAGCTTGTGAGGCATTATCAAGAACTACTCATACCGTTTGGTAATTTCCAAGAGCATCTAAAATGTCTATTTTTGTGGTAGAGAGAAGTATGGTAGTTTGAGGTTTTTGCTTGGTGAGTGAGGTGCACCCACAGTTAATGTATTGCG